ATTGATTAAGCTGCTGGTCTGTTCCCACGTGCAACTTACACAGGACGCTTGTTTTAGCAAAGTCCACAAGAGGACCGATCACCAGTCCAGCAGTTCCAGCAGAAAACACCCCATATCCTCCTATTATAATCGGAATATTGGCAGGATGAGGAGATATCTGCTGAACAAAACTCTGTGCTGGCAACAGGTAGGGCATCCGGCCAGTAAACCCTGCTAGCTCCATTCCGTTGCCCGGATTACCACCCCAATGCAATTAAGGGATTATGGGGTTGTTAAAAGATAATCAAAAGATTAGCCCAAAGAAAGGGTCTCCATTTAATCCCAGCTCACAACGCTTTCCACACCCCCCCCCCCCCCCCCCCCCCCCCCCCAAATTAACTCCAGGAGACTCGGGACCTTTCACCAAGAAAAACACGCAAACTCCGTCAGTAAACAGATTCCTTTTATCAAAACATTGGACGAAGCCACAAGTGATTCAGGTGGTATTTGGAAAGCGACGCTTTGGGAGTCTCGGGACGGCGTGGATTCCCGGGGATCAAGCCGTGGAGCGACGACACCGAAGCCCAAAATGATTTCAAAGCACACCAAGGCGGGTCGTAACGGGATTAAGAAAGCAGAGCGATGCAGCCATTTTGCGTTTTCTGGAAACCGTCCGTCCATCGATCCCAGGTAAAACCAAAACCAAAAAGAAAAAGACCACAGGTGTGGGTGAAAACCCCGCCCCTTGACAACCCAAAGGTGTTTCCTCATTTGCATAGTGGATCCCTAGTGTCACACCCGCGCGTGGCATTTTATAAACAGCCAGGGGGAGGGGAAAAAAAAACGAGGCGGGTCTCCTCTCAAGACCCCTAGAAAGGTCCCAATACCGCTAGTCCTCAACTTAGAAACTCGGTCCAAACTTTACGTGGCCAAGGGAAACTTATTGGGCTAAGGGAGTGAAGTGCTCCGTTTTACAACCTTTCTGGCTGCCATTGCTAAGTCAAGCCCTGCAGTTGATAAGTGAATCACTCGGTCGTTAAGTGAATCGGGCTTCCCCACTGTCTTGGCATGTCAGGACGCCAAGTGTGTGTATGTGTGTGTGTGTGTGGGGGGAAATCACGTCTCCCCAGAAGATTGTCAAGCCTCTGAATTTGGATCACGTGACTGTGGGGAACGCAACAACGGTTGTGTTGTGGTCCGCCGGCAGCCTGCGGAGCTGGCAGCAGAGTGGGGAGGAACGTGGGCCAGTCCTGGAGTCTGGGGAGGGCTCAGAAAAGGCTCCTGCGTCCAACACAGAGTTGGAGCCAGGGCCATCTGGGAGTTATGTGCTGACTCGGGAGCCTCTAGAATCTGACAGCAGCGAGGAAGAGGAATAGCGGGAGCCTGTTCCCAGCGTGCACTTGCAGAGCTGCCAGAAGGCAAGAAGAGTTAAGACAAAAAGGGGCGACTCGGGAGGAAGGCTTGGAGATGATTGGCCCCCTCCCATAAGACATAAAGGAGGAGCCAAGGGACAGGAGCCTTTGCAGGAAGCAACTTTTTGTTTGTTCTGGATGCTCCATGTTGACTTTGGGCTCCATTTGGCTTGGTACAGCTAATTGGCCATTTAATGGTTGGCAGCATTTCAAGGGAGATAGATAAAGGTGGGTGCTTATCAGCCTTATCCCAAAGGACCGGTCGGACGATTCACACACTGTTCGGGACTTATTATGGGCTGTGATTATGACTATAATTCACAGCCACTGAAATAACAAGAGGGTTTTAGGGACTAAGCAGGAAGCCTTGGTCAGAACAGGTTGTGTGAAAAACGGTCGTCTCTTTTTTTCCCTTCTCCAGTGCGGTAACTTTGGACAGCCACTAAACGAACAGTTGTAAGTCGAGGACTATCTGTATTTTAAAAAGGCAGGCACGGATTCAGAGAACCGAGTGACAAGCTTGATTGTGAATACGCCACTCAGCACAATATTCAGCTTCCATAAATACCGACACACCGACAACCCTCGGATTTGGGGAACAGGGTGAGGGGCATCTTTGAAAAGGGCCACGCAGATACTCCTCGCCTTACGACAACGGAGCCCAAACCTCCTGTTGCTAAGCGAGACATTTCTGAAGGGAGCTCGGTCCCATTTTACAGCCTGCCTGGGTCCCGTCGTTCAGTGAGTCATTGAATCGGTAACACTTTTGTTAAGCGAAGAAGGCTGCCAAAGGGGACATGACCCCCCACCCCCCGGCCCGGGAAACCATCGTAAATACGAGTCAATGGACGAGGGTCCAGATTTTGATCTCGAGACATGGAAGATGCTGGGGGTCGTTGTGGAAAAACGGCTGTTAGTCAATTTTTTTTTAAGGTTCCTGTGGCTCTGAAAGGTCACTAAACGAATCATCGTAAGTCAAGGACTGCGTTCAAGTCCTCGGAGGGCTATCGTGCTGGAGGGGTGAAAATTGAAATATTGGCCGTTTCTGCTCGCAGGGCTCCGAGGTTAGAACCGTCTTTCCCAGTAATAATAATAATAATAATAATAATAATAATAATTTGTTCATTTCAGAATGTCTTTTAAGGCTTATATTTTCTCCTTCCTTCGCTTCCACGGACGGCATCTCCACCAGGCCAACGGATAGAATTAATTAAATTCTATTAATAAATAGAAAGGACACTGGGGATCGATGCAGTACAAAAATCTCATTTTTAGGGTGGGGGGCGACACGACCTGTCCAGCCCCCTAAATGTTAGGTTGGAGGCATCGCTTCCTGCGGGAGAAATCTCCCCAAAAGCTAAACGGAAGTTTCGTACGGAGTTTTCCATCTTGGGTGGCCGTTCCTGCCCTGCCCAAATCTCCCTACAACCCCCCCTGCTTTTCACCCACGCCGGTAAATGGCAGAATGCATAGCTACCCTTTGGAATTTGGGGGGGAGGGGGAAACCCCCCCCCAAAAACGAAGGCTTTAAACCCAAATCAAAGGCCAGGCCAAGCGAAGAACGGATGCATCGAAAGGTAGTTTAATACTGGTTAAGAATCTGCTCTTGAATGAGGGAGGTTAGGAAATGGGCCGAGTTGCGCTTCCCAGCACCGCAAGGCCTAAAGAATCTGGACTTCAATTCCCAGAATGCCTCAGAAAGCAAACTGACTGAGGAATTCTGGGAGTTGGGAGTCTATTCATGCTGGCCTGGGGCATTCTGGGAGCTGTTTGTTCACGCTGGCTTGGACATTCTTGGTCAGTTTAACATGTGGACTTCAACTCCCATCATGCCCCAGCCACTTCCAACTTCTGAAAAACCTCAGCCAGTTTGGGTGGACTTCAACTCCCAGAATTCCTGCTGGCTGGGGCATGCTGGGAATTGAAGTCCGTTCACGCTGGCCGGGGAATTCTGGGAGTTGGAAGTCCACACAGTTGAGAACCTTGCCCAGTTTAAATGTGGTCCGACTCCCAGCAGGCCCCAGACAGCTTGCATGGACTTCAACTCCCAGAATTCATGCTGGCTGTGGAATTCTGGGAGTCGAAGTCCACACAAAGTTGTGAACCACGGCC